CCTGGCCTTACTACTAGGAGCAAGGACGCTACTAGTGGCTCCTGGCCACTCCTTTGGCCAATTCGACTCCTTTCGACCTCCAGAGGCTCCATTTGACTCCTCGGCTCCATGCTGGTCTCTGGGGTGAGACGGTGCTCCACGAACCCGGCGCCTTGGTGCGAGGCCCCAGGTCAGGTCTACAACCCCAATGGATTTCTGAAGATTCTGACGTTTTCCCGAACGTGGTTGTATGATAGTATCTGACAGAACCTGATTGAACTTAGCATCCTGGCAGCCTTCACCGAATCCTGCTGCCAGGCTGCTGGCTCGCACGACCGCGAGATTCGGAGTTCGCATCACCTCGTCTGCCGGCTTTCTGCGCAGTTTCGAACTCGAGTTCTGCTCGTTTTTAGTGCAGCTGCGGTGCGTGGAACCATTCACTTTCTGGCCTGCCCAATGAAAGGAAAATACGAAAGGAAAGAAAAAAGGTGGTCCCAATGGTTCCAAGCAAGTGCCGCAGATCTGCAGTGACAGGACTCCTGAAGAATCTGCCTTTCAAACCTTCACGAAACATAAAGAACCGCTGCAAGTCGCTGAATCAAAGCTTCTCGAACTCTGCTTTCCGTGCACTATCCACCTGAGGAGTTCTCTGGCCCATCAGTCCTCAGTGGCGAAAGAAAAGGACACCTCCAGGTACCAACAGTTACTAACACTAACAGTGTGCCACTCCCAAATGCAGGTTATCAAAGTGTCATTCTACATTCTCCCGATTCACGTCAAGATTCATCTCAACAGGTATCCATTCTGCCAAACATCTTACCTGAAGAAGCTTTCAGCTTTCCCCTTAACACTCAGGTTGCCACGTCTCGCAACAATCGGCCTCTTCAGAAACCCTTGACCCGCACCGACCATCCACCCTGTCCCCAAACGCCGCATCGCCAGTCCAGTCCCAGGATCCGCGGCCGCTTCGCCGGCGGACCGTCGGTTGTGGCGGCGGCGCTCGGGCTGCTCCGCCGGAAGGAGAGGCTAATGTCCTCAGGGCCGAGTCGCACAAAATTTCATAAAACATCAAGCCTGTCAAAAGCATTGGAGGCCCTACCAGATTGGCTCTGTCTGGTAGAAAGCCAATTCCTTTCACGATGCCCAAACACCCAAACATTCCTCCCAAAAAAAACAAAAATGTTGGCCTTTCTCTCCAGAGTGACGTCCGATCTGCGGACAGGAGACGTGGCAGCGCCATCGACCACTCATTCCATTGTCCAGCATTTCAGCCCAGAACCAGACCTCAGCAGTCAGAACCAGTCTGGGTTGAGCTGTGGGAACTGTTCTTTCAGACTTGCGTCCCCCTCTCTAGCCTTCCGGACCAACATCTCCCAGAAAACCCTCAAATGCCAAGACGCTCTTTGCCCGGGAAGTCTAAGGCCATTGGCCACCTGGCCGCTAGCCAGGCAGCCAGTCGTTAGCAGACCAAACTTAAGAAGGGTCGTGTCTAATTTTGCACGTATCTTTGGCACACAAATCATTGTGCAAAAAGTGACCCAAAAGAGGGTGTGCATGCAGATACAAATGCATATATACCATGTGGGCAAAAATGCACCAAAGAATGGTGATTGGGATGTGAATCGTGCCATGTGCCTCCCGCCCCACAATCTCACCTTCTTCTGGTCTTCGGGGTGCATGTCTTTCACGTTGAAATACAAATCCGTTTCATCTGCATCGACGCTGATGAAGCCGAAGCCCCGATCCTGGCTGACCCGATGGGTCGGATCTTCCCGTTGGAAACGTCAAATCATCGGCCGGATGGCTCGGGTTATCCTACCCGTTTCGTCCGTTTCGTCCGTTGAGTCTGTCATAGATTTCTACCCCCCTAGCCAAGACTCTGGGTACACTTGGGCATGCATCAGTCTCTGCTCCGCCCTCGATATGGCAGCCTTATCTTTGCCCCGTCCTGATTGAAGGTCTTCACCTTCCCACTTACCTCTGCACCATCGTACAAAATACTTCCGGTGCCGGGGATGATGGCCTTGCCGGAACTGATGGCCGTTTGTCGGCATGCTCCTTCGCTTCGCTGTGAGGTTCAGCAAACCCAGCCTCGTGCGCCACCACGGCAGCCTTTTGTACAGCGGCGTCCACCTAAGCCATCTCTGGTCCCCAAACAACACCCAAGACCCGCAAACGACTGCACAAGCACGTTGAAATTGAATTCGGCTTTTCTTGCAAGCTCATGTGTTGACTGCTGTGACAGCCTGCACTAGTGATGCTTTGCATTCCAGACCTAATTTCGGCAATGTCGGCAACACGACAAACTGCCAGGTCCTGCATGGAACTGCTCAGGATATCTCAGGATGCGGGCACAATTCACCTCATAAATGCTTAATGCATGCTTAGTTCCCATCTTCCGGTCACTTTGCCGTAAGATGCCACTTCCCTTCGGCAGTTTGGGCAAGTATGGCCGAAGGAATTGAGTGATTGTTTCATACATGAATCGTGAAAAAACATGCCTGCACCTGGTCACCAAAAGCTCTTCTGGCTTCTCCCAGTCGATTTCATCCAGGCACACGCTACAGAGTTCTCCGGACGAAGGATCTGCACTGGTTTCCAAGAAGTTCAATGCTCTGACAAGCATGTTGGTGGCTCTTCTCTTCTCCTTAGCCTTGAAGCTTGGACCTGTGGATGTCTTGCCTTTGCCTTTGCCTTCACCCTTGCCCTTTCTCTTCATTCCCTTTCCATCCTTTCCATCCTTTCCCCTTTCCATGTTCTCCTCCTCTCGGCTTGCAGGCGATTCGGGAGCAACGGTGGGGAGCAACGGTGGTCTCAGCAGCTCCTCCGAGACGCGCGGCTCGGCGGCGGAGGCGGAGGCGCCTGAGCCTTCGGAGGTCGCCATGGGTGCCAGCTCGATGTGGTCCGCCACCGGGATGAAGTGCAGCTGCTGTTCCAGGCCCTCCTTGCCAAACGGAGATTTTTCAGAGCTTACAAAGGCAGACAAGCGAGGAAAGAGACAGAGAAAGAAAGGGTTAGCGGCTACAAGTAACGCATGCTAGCACTCGTTTCCGTATCCTTTTTTACTATATTCATGTTCATATCCTTGTTTATAAACTGGTTCTAACTCGTCTTTTACAACCTATAAATATATACTCTATATTATGCGTATAATATACGTACACCATGATAATATTTGTAATTTCTAAAACATACTATATTACACATGCCCTATATTATCTGGTCTATTATCAATAATTATAATAATGATATGCAAAAGTATGCAAAAGTAATGAATTCGAAATAGAAACCTTCTAGATTCAAATCCAAGCGATTCAACCATCCAAATCCATGATCAAAAAGGCCAAGTCTCCGGGAGCTCAGCCTCGGCATTCCTCGCACGCAAGACTTGGTCAAAGGCAAAGACAGAGACAATGTTCCAGCAGGATGGGACAACGAACAGGAACAGCAAGTTGTTGAAGGTTTTGTCTTGAGTACCGACCAGTATGCTCCGAGCAATGTGCTCCCAAAATGTCTGCTGATGCCTCAAAAGCATTCGAAAAGGATAAATCGTCGCCTGCGTAATGAACAAAGTGAAGAGCCACAAGGCTAGCTGTTCCAAGTAAATCCTCAGCAAGAATTCATTTGTTTGAGGATCCCTGTATGAGCCACATTTGAATTCCAAATGCCGCAAACTCACCAGTTGAGAAGTTGCACTCCTCTTACGTGCCAGCAGCTGCATAATGATAATCGTCAGCACCCTGAGCCAGATGTAAGCGGCCAGAATTCCCAGTGTGCTGTCGATGGACATCTCAAGCACAAAGCGTATGCAATGTTGGGCTCCGCTGCGTTCGCTGTGGCTCTGATAGAAGGTAAAGAAACGCCATCTCCGGAAGAGGGTCAAACAGGCACTTCCGATCACTTGCTTTGAGCAATCCATAGCAAACTCCCGGAAGCCGCGACTTTGGCGGAGGTACTGGTACTGATCTCTCATCCAGAGTAGAACAAAAAGAAAAACCAAAACCAAAGGCACAGAAATTGACAGACAAGCCAAACCGCTTTGCTGGTCACTTCGCACTCCAGCTCCATGGCACTCGAGGTCTTCCCAGCAAATGAAGGCTTTGAGCCCAAGCCAGTCTGACATCCCACAGAAACCAACACCGGTACATCATGGTAAATCCTATGCAGATCCACCCTAAAATGCAGCTCAAGGCAAAATCAGGTCCTGAATCCAAACTCTCACAGCCAAAATCACATGGCCCGCTGGCTTGGTTCTTTGGTTGCTGTGGTGTGTTTGATGCAGAACCCTCAAGCATGGTGCGAAGCAGATGTCAAAGCCTCGTTCCCCCCCCGCGTCGCGCGTCGCACGTCGTGCCAAGGCACGGTGGCTGCGGCGCTCGGTCCCTCCGCGGTGGCGGGGCTCAAAGACAGGTCTCGCGCTCTCAAACGACCGCCGCCTGGACTCGGTGAACTCTCTCTGGGTGAACTCCTATCTAGATCTATCCAGGCAACTGCCGATCAAAATACCACTTCCGGGAACCCCATGAGCTTGGAGGTGAACAAGCAAGGATCTCTTCTTGTCAAACGTATTGCAGTGCATTTCACCGGCCTGGCATCAGCTGAAGCCAGAATTTAACCAAGGCCTCAGCGAAGCAAAAACATCCACTCCTCTGGGGGCTCCGGTCGGTCGAAAACAGTCGAAGGAGACCAATAAGCAGCACTCCCACAGCTTCTGATGGCTTTTCTCGGGTGAAATCAGCCAAGGATGGATTCTCTACAAATGATGTAATTGACATGCAACATAATGCAAGTCCCAAATTGCGCGGAAGTCTAAAGCACTGCCCCCACACATCGCTTCGCGGCGGGCCGAGTACTTGCCGAAGCCGAGCCGCGCCGGGCGTCAGGCCACTTCCCTCTGGCCCCACGCTGTCCAGCTGTGATTTCAATGATTCCACCAGGTCCTCAAACTCAAGAGACTGGCCAGCGAAGTGAGAGACAGGGGTCTACTCACTGGCAGGGACACGAGATCAAATCAACTTAAACACCATCTACATAGACATAGACATATATCATCTAGGGAAGTTCTGTTATGATCTGTTATGTTGCGAACCACCACTGTTGCATGATAAAATGAAGCTTCTTTTGCCCAACACCTCAAAGATGAGCTCCAGACCCAGACTTGGAAGTACCTCAGATCGGACCACAGCGCCGTGTTCAGTCATGGAAATGCCAAGCTCTGCTGTTAGACAACTTTCCAGAGTTTTCAGTTTCCTTTTGACCTACCTCCACTTAAATTCCAAATCCACAAATCCTGTGCGTCGACACAATTCTGGGCCAGGTGGCACGTCGTTCGTTTGCCCCTCAACGCCTCACTCGTGAGGCAGTCCCAAAACCCGATTGCTGAGGCGGAAAAGCAAAGCAAACCAGGGCCAATGTGCGGATGAGTGAAAAATAGATTAAACAAAGATCTTCAGCAGAAGAAACTGGAGCACTGCACTTCTGCATCTTTAGCATCTTCAAGCCAAGGCGCTGATGAAGCCGAAGTTCTTCTCCTAAGTGTGGTCAGCTGGGATCATATTGGGCACATGGTTCACCTTCAACTCTCGGCTCTCAGATGGCAAGTCCTGTACCTTTGCCAAGTTGGGAGCAAAGCCCCTAAATCATTGGCTACATTGATCATCAGAAGGCAAATGTTCGATCATGAGCGACCAGGCAAAATATCGGTCAACTTTCACCAGGCGACTGCGTTGTAGGACTTCAACCGACCAACCAGCTCGCACCCAGGGATGATTTGCTTCTCTACCTGGTGCGAGGAAAAGTGTCAACATATGTCAACATGTCCATCCAAGATGATCCATGTCCCGCGGCAGTGCAGTGTCAACTCGTTCAAGAAGGATCTAGGATCGACCTCGTTCTTCCCGCCTTTGGCAAACTGCTCTTCCCCTTGCCGCAGCCTTTGCCACCACCATAGTCCATGGACCTGAAGGTGGATGGGATTCGGACGCCTCGAAGAAAATTACACCACCGTAGACCCCAAACAGGTGGGACAACAAAGAAACATTCCCAAGTCGATTTTTTTGAGACATGGGAAACAAGAAGGAAGACAAGGTGGACACAATGACCAACAAGAAGGGAGGAAAGAAGGGTGACAAGGGATACAAAAGGAAACAGGAAGGGAGACATCCTTCATACCCGCGGGAATTGTTCATGACATTTCATGACTCCATTTGCCGAAGAGAAGCCCCCATCCATCCCATCCATAGGAGTCCCAGCCATCTCCATCCTGAGCTTACGAAGAATCGAAGAAAAATCTCCGACGGTCCTTCGAACGGTCCAACGGTCACATTTGATCCCCCTTTTTCAAAACAGCGGTTCAGGCCTTGAAGGCAACGAAGCAACATGAGGCAACCAGGTTGACCCGTTTCAGGTTGCGCGGGTGCATGGCTTACGTGCTCTGTTCAGCCAAGAGTCTCCCTTGCCCCAACCTGGAAAGCAGCAAGGAGTGCAACTGAAGAAGTTTGCATCCGGCTGCAAGCTGCATGCTGAACACTTTGTGGAAAATAATGCAACATGAGTTTGTGCGGGCCCTTCCAACATCCACCGCTTCGGTCCTTCGGTCCTCCTTCGGTCCTCCTTCGGTCCTCCTTGCCCTTTGGCCCCGGCCTTTGCCCCCCAGCATCTCGGCCGTAAGGCCTCCAGGAGAGCTCCCATCGCCCGCCAGGACCTCGTGGGCGACGACACCGAGAACCGCGCCCAGCTTGGGCGGTGGCGAACGGCACTTTTGAAAAACAACTACAGTAGTATGTAACTACTATATAGTAACAAGATGTAACAAGGGCATTACTACTAGTAACAGGTATACACCTTCTTGCTACTAGTAGTAATGCCCTTGTTATTTCACAATCTGAATCCATTCCTCCTTCCCGGTCTCCCAACAACTAAACCGGACAGTGCAGTCAGGAAGCGATCTCTTTCGCCTGCCATCCTGAGCTGCAAAGAGGCTGTTCTCTGCACAAAACCTGATGGTCAGCTCTTTCATCCACAAAGCTCTCGCTCCTTCCCTGGGTGGCGCGCTGTCCACTCGGGTGCCCCTTCCCGGCGGGCTGTCCCCGGTTCGGTCCAAGGCTCTGCTGTCCGTCTGCGCATAGACGGTAAACCACACCACGGTCCCCACAGGGCCCATCTCTTCGCATCTCATCTGCGCGTCGGGCCCCACATCGCCTAGGAACGAAGAAACAAAGAAGACCGTCTGGAATTGAAAGAAGAAGACCTATACGACTATAGACGTGCAAAACGATGCTCACTTCTGCCATGGGATCCTTGGAGGCGACGGTCCCAGCCAAGAGCGAGCGACCGAGGTCTCCGAGGCCCCGAACGGCCCTGAAAGTAAATGTCAATGGGGTTCCCAGTGACGTTGATGAAGCCTCGGCTCGATCTTGACAGATCAGGTCATCTCGCCGTCAGCACTTTCATGTCCTTTGCATTCTCAGTGGGTCTCGAAGAAGGCCCAAAGCGCCGTTCGGAGCAACTCTCAGGTGCGAAACAAAGCTGTTTGATTGCACAGTCATTTCCTAGACCTCATGCGAAATCGTTTCGTGGGTGGATGTGGTTCCTTGAGAAGACTTGGCAGTTGAAGGATGGATGAAAGTTGAAAGTTCTTCCAGTCAAGCCACCAAAGCCTTTATAGTCATAAAAATACCGGATCATGCCCGCCATCTTCATGCCATCAAGCATTTGCACCCCAGATTCAAGCAGGCTCACGTTCCTGCAGAGCACCGTACCCCGGAGAATCCCGTAGTATTGAGTAGGAAGAGCTTGTGTTGGAGGTTTACTTTGCTGCCGGCCAACACACCCGCATGCTCAATCCCATTTGCAACATACAGCCTATGAACAAGCTAGGAACCTTTTCAGTGCAAAGCTCCAGAGCCTGACCCCTAGAGCAACAGATCGGCGAATGATGCCCAAACTGAACACGTTCGTTCTGAACCAAACTATTTCGTTCATCCAAAACCTTTGGATGGAGCAAGGACGCTACTAGGGGCTCCTGGCATCGCTACTAGGAGCAAGGTTCTCAGGATTCCGATGCACAAGTTCGGCGCGAAATCTGGAATCATTAGAAACAAGGAGCTATTAGTAACAAGTGCCACGCTACTAGTAACAAGTGCCTTACTAGTAGTAACAAGAAGCTACTAATTTGATATAAATTACCGGACCCGCGCGTCCGGACCCAGTCCGGCCATTCCAGCGGCCGTCGGCCCTGGCTTCCACGCGGCAGGTGGCGATACAGTTCGCCAGGCCCGCGCCACCCACTAACCTCGGTGGGGCAACGAAGTGAAACGGTCCTCTCCCAGCTGTTTCAGACATTCGTGTCATCCAATGTAATACCGGAGAAATCAAGGATGAGAGAGACAAGGGCCATTGATTCGTAGAACTTGATTGACTGATTCCTCCTTTTGCACATCTACATGCATGCATTTGCGGTAATTTTCCTGGCCAACTGGCTAAAGGGCAAGTGTCAGCCGTCAGGCTTGGAGCCTTCTTCTAAAACAGAACCAGCCAAGAAGCATCAGGAGCCCTTGCGAGGCTTCATCCATGTCCTGAGTCAGATCATCTTGCAACTCAACCAGACCTCAAAAGGCTCGAAGTCACGGCGAAACTCAGCAACAGTCAAACCCTGGATACGTCGACACACAGGAACTGCATGCTGTCTGTCTGACCCCTTTTAGGACCCTAAAGCCATACCACAGCTTCCAACTCTGAGCTCCAAATGCCTAGTGTCTCTGCCATGGAAGTAGAGGTCCATATTGGCACCAGGAATTTTCAGAAAGCCAAAGCCTCTGGTCTCATTGAAGGACTTGACCTTGGAGGCATGGCAGGTTCCTCGCATGTGATCGGATGGTGGGACGTGCATGTGTACCATGGAATCGTCACGTTGAACGCTTGTGCGGTGGCACGGACCATGTCTCGCGACATGTGACATGGTCCATGTCTGCACTTCACATCGTCCCGTCCCGTCGAACACAAAGGGACGCAGGACGCAGGACGCATGGATCAACCACTTATCACCGGTCCAAGAGGCGGTGGCAGTGATGGTCGTCCCATCCCTCAAAGAGAAGGGCTCCACGGTGGAGGGATCCGAATCCCCCAGGCACAAGTCCATGCCCTGGATTCCGATCACACAAAGGTCCACAAGAAAGCACGGTGGTGTGGATGCCCGGGGTTCGAAGCTTGCGAAGCTTGTGAAGCTATCACAAGCTTGAAGGGTTTCATCGGAAGAGATCGGTTCTTTCAGGATCATTCTTTTATTTCAGAAAGCATCCAACCAACAAATCCAGCCTGTGCAGAGCCATCCGCCAGGTCTTTCAAGAGGAAGCTGACCTGTTCAAATATTCTCAAGTGTGCCCCCAACAGGGTGTTGCTATGTGATCGGCTTCGGATGCCGGTCGCCGTCACGTTGGGCCTCTGCGGCCTCCGGAAAACATTGAAATCCACGCACCCTCCATTTGCCTTAAATCGACATCCACAGATTCCCTTCGCAACAAAACCGTCAGCGGGCTTGATGCTGCAAACTTTTTTGGATGACCCGAACAGCTACAGACACGCTGGCTGCACAAGGCATCACCTTTTTCAGAGAGAGTCCGGCTTTCGCTGACCCCTCTGATGACTATTTCTCACCACACTCTCCTGGTTTCTGTGTCTCTCAAGCGAACTCCCCCACACCTTTCGCACCGCCAGCAATTCAACAGGCTTGGACTCCCTCCACGGTGCCATCTGGATAGTCTCTGCGGACACAAAGAAACGGCCGCAAATGGGGATCCTTGAGATTGATCATTCCTTCCTTCAAAGGTCCCTCCTTCTTCCACGACCGTGCAATGGCTTTCTGTTCTCGCTTGGGTTCGAGGAGGTCGACGAGGTGGAAGACCTCACCACTTTCCAGGTGGATGACCTGCTCTCCTTGCCACATTTTGGTGGGCTCTTGAACTTCCCACAAACAAAGGAATCCTGCGACCATCCACTTCAGTTCCGGCCTCGGTTCCGTAGAGTTTGGGCCCCCTTGGAATCCTTTAAACAAAAGGCCAAAATCTGGAGTTTCTTTTGTTTTCTGGATGCAATAGAGCTGGCCCTTGGACATCGGCAGGAAATACTGTTCCCACTGGCTGTGCCCCTGTCCATATGTCGATGGACACCGGACCCAAATCTTGACCGTGTCTCCGACATAACGTGCCATGTAGGCTTGAACTTCAGAGAGCATGACGCGCTTGGACTTGAAGTCGGTGTTGTGTGCGGCTGGAACCGGTAGAGGTCGCTCAGGTTCAATCGGTTCATTGCCATAGAAACGGTCAGGCACGTTGTCCCGATCGTTCCGCCTGCTCGCAAGCGTGCGGACAAGGTTTGATCTGTGTGGAATACAGTGTATATGTATATATATTTGCCTGACAAGGGAGGGGGCGAAAGCCAGCCTCCGTAGGAAGACATCAATGTGGTTATGGGGTGAAGTCGACAGCCCACTTGAACTGCTATCAGGCATGAGGAAATGCAGAGAGGCGCAAAGTCTCGCATTGAGGGTCGATATGATACACACAAGGTCTTGATCAAGGCCCATTCACTGCTAGCGGTTATAGGATAGAAGTGGAGCCCATGCGTTAGCAGAAAGGTTGAGTTGAGCAGGACATATACAGTCTGGGGGGTGGGCAGGCCATTTTAAGCCCGCAAATATCCTCCTGAGTTGTCCGAACAGCAATTATCTCTACGAGAAAGAGATTCTAGCTTGCGCAAAGTCTCGCCGCTGGATGGAACACACCTGGTTAGCCTGGTCAACTCCCTCAGTCTGGGGTGACGTCGTTTCTTGCACTTCCTTCTACTCTTTTTAGCCACGGGAAAGCAGAAGGCTGAGAGACGCAGCGTCTCACTTTGCTTTGAAGCTCGATATGATAGAGCCGGGATACACAACGCCTGGATCAACTCCCATGTACTGTTACTGGGCATAGGATAGACTTCGGTCCGTACAAAAGTCCGACTATAGCTCTGAGGCCCTTGTGCGTCCAGTTAACAGCCCTCTTCACCATAAACTATACCAGCGTTGACCCCAAACAGTTTGCTTGGTCCACATCCAAGTCCACACAAATGTAAAATCATGCGGCCACAGCACCCACAAAGGAATGGAGACAGTGGGAGACAAGTGTGAAATCGTGCGGCCAGAGCACCCACAAAGGGACTGGAGACAGTGGGAGACAAATGGGAGACAAGTGTAACAATCATGCGGCCAAAGCACCCACAAGCGAGTGGAGGCAGTGGGAGACAAGTGCGAGACAAATGTAAAAGTAAAATCATGCGGTGGCTATCGTGATATATACAAAATGATATATACAAATACATTTACTTTTTGTCACATGGCACGTACATTGGCAGTAGCATTGAACTACATGATAGGGCATGGCGCATGGCGCTGGACTACACGCTCACACTGTCGGGATCCTACAAGGATACACTGCGCTAGGAGCCATGGCTCCCTCCTATCGTTTTCCCTGCACGGTGGACCTGACAGACGCGAATGGAACGTTGGAACACAATTGGACGCCCAAGTCCTTGTCCTCCCAGGCTGCGCAGGCTGCTGCGCATTGCCCAACATCTCTTCGCGCGACTGTGTCAAATAGTTCGAAAGCATGTCCTGTGAAAAGTCAGGATGGGCAAACATAAACCTCGAACCTTCAATCTGTGAAGACACCTTCCAGCCCCCCGCGATGGTTTTCCATCGTTCATGGTCAAGAAAATGGGCCCAATGTCCTGCGCTTAAAACTACACAGAATTATACCCACATGCATCAGTTCCTTGAATTCGAAGGTTTGTGGAATTGTCTATAAAATATTCCTATAGCCCAAAGGCTAAGCCGGCTCCCCGCGCGCGTTCAGCCTAAGAGGTTACACATGTCAGGGCAAAGGTATATTTGGTAAATTATGTAAATCGATAAATTCGATGCATTGGTAGACTTCGGTAGACTTCGGTAGACTTCCTGACTCTGCACATCGGAAATAGGAAAAAATCATGTAACATCAGTAAACCGTCAAATGTGGTAATTTGTTTACCCTTTACCGCGCTGGTGTCCTAGAGTGCATCAAAAGCAACAAAGGCAGAAAACAGCCAGCCAACGCAACAGGGCATGCGCGCAAAACGCTACAAACAAGGAAACAGAGCATTTTCCCAGCAGAGACCGGCCGGCCCACATGCTGTTCGTTTCACATGAGCACGTGGATTCGCACCTAAAATGCATCCGTGCATCACTCAATCCATGTGTTTTCAGCTTTGCTCGACTCGGATTCAGGGTCTGCGCAGTGTCAAGCCTACAACTTGACGAAGTCTGTGCACCTTCTAGAAGAGAAGATGCGGATTGTTAGATCTTAACCAAAGACAAGCAGACAGACTCTTGAATTGAACAGCTTTGGCTCTACGGTGGACGACTGAAGATTGGCTCGCATTGTATTTTTTGCGTCATGTGAGACTTCTCTCACTCCATGAGTCTGGCTGACCTTTGGAAAATCGCTCATGTGTGTTAATTTTTTGTGTTTTGTTAAACCGTGTTTCCTCTTCACTTCTGTTACCTCGGGATTTTACAAGTTTACCGTTTGCCCTTTTCCCCACGCTTGCGCGCGCTCGGCATTTCATTGTTTTGCTGTATTACCTTTTTACCGCGGGCCTCTGCAACGGAAACTCCGTAACCAGAAGACACACCGCGAGGCAGCACAGCCCATAGCCTCGAGCTGTTTGGGAACGGCAGACACAATTTTGTGGGATGGTATCAAATTTGACACGCTGCATCACTGTTGCTTTCAACAAGCCCGGACAAGGCAGTGGGGAGAGGAAAGACGGCACGGCAAAGCAGAACACACACACACATACACACACACCCGAATAAGCCAGGACAAGACCCTGTACAAGGCGGAGGAGAAAGGTTGGACAGCGGCCAACAGTGAACTGTTTGGGGAACCAAACCAACAATCAATAGCACACTTGGCTGAAACTAGGTTAGCCAAAGACTGGAGGGTTGCATCGGCCTTGGCGGTTCAATCTACGTGTGAATGACCCACTCTATGTGACATGCAGAGTTTGTTGGAGCCACACTTTTTTCGTGGCTCACACAATACAATGACCACCTTCACTCTCAATTTAGCTTTTACGAAATGAACTCAACACAGCATGATGACTTGCGAAACATGTGTGTCCTGTATGCATCAGGCGGCTCGAGTGAATTTCCAGCAAAAGAACTCAAATCAACATCGTGACTATCTCTCAGGCAGAGACTTGGAATCTGATACAGCAAAGACAAACGCTCATATACAGGGGCGCACCGATGAAGAACAGAGACTCAATCGCAATATCAAGAAACATGCAAAAGCAAGTAAATTAGAAGACCTGACAATCTCTGCTGGTTTAGCGTAGTTGCCGGGGTTACGGGGTTAATCCGAGGCATCTGCGCGGTAAAAACGGTAAAAATCGAAAATTTGACTTGTTTTACCGTTTTCCCCGGGGGGGGGCACCCCTTTTTCGTCTACCATATCCGCGGTAAAACCAGTAAAAATCGAAAACTTGCTGTTTTTACCGTTTTGCCCCCGGGGGGGCACCCCTTTTTCGTCTACCATATCCAAGGTAAAAACAGTAAAAATCGAAAATTGTCTGTTTTTACCGTTTTTACCGGAGGCCGCTCCTTTTGTTCTAGGCGTCCCTTTTTCTTTCTACCATATTCGCGGTAAAAACGGTAAATACCGTTTTGCTTTTTCCGTTTTCCCGGGGGGGACACGGCCCTTTTTC